AATATTATCTAACTGTTGTATTTTTCTGTAAATATTTGTTTACAGTTGCTGAAGAAGATTTCAAGAGTCTTATACAACATTGTTGTCTTGTTCATTCCCTGGGAGATGAGGATTAAAAAGATTGAAAGTTAGTATCTAGATGCACAATATGTGTTTAATTTGTATATTAATGTCAACCTCTTATTGCAAGGCATTAAAAAAAACATTATTTGAACACATGACTTTTCATGAATGACAAACTAGCTCTGATTTGGTAAATATATTAGACACAATGCATATTCATTAAAAAAAATATATTTTGTCAGGTAACCTAAAAATGCACTTTCATGTGGAAAGTATCCAAATGACCTAGTGTGAATAAAGTAAAAAAATCATTTTAATTAGACTGAATTAATATAACCCTATACGTAAAATATCTGAAGGGTCAGATCAGGTCAAAATAACCCCATACTGCATTAATTGTACACTATATGTTGTCTTTGAAGGTCACTTTGGATCAGGTGTGGCCTCTTATTTCATATTTCTGCGATGGCTGTTTGGGATCAATATAGTTCTCACTATTATGACTGGAGCCTTTATCGTGCTGCCTGAGGTTAGTATGCACTGCATACTATAGGCTGTATATTCAGATATGAACATTTATGAATCAAAAAGTGTCAAACAATTTGAATGTACATTACCTAATGATCTATTAAACATTACATATGCCGTTATTCTCCTTTATTGTTATTTCCGAAAGCATGTACAGATATTTAGATGCTGCTGTGTACTCATACATTATTTGTAGACAACATCTTTTATTAAAACTCAACAAGGACGCTTTTTAGACCTGGAAATGGAAAATACGGTTAGATTTATTTCACTCCCGGAGCAGAGACACAATGCAATTTCTGCTCTGGTATCATCTGTTGTCCTCTATCATTCCCTCTGTCTCTCCAATCTGTCCAATCAGCTCCTGGCCGGCGCTCCGTTCGGTACCACCCGCAGCAAGACCATCCCCAAGGATCACCTTGCCTCTGCACAAGACCTGGACACCATCTGGTCGCTGGGGGCAAGACTATCATCTCTCATTTTTACTGCTTTGCCAATGTGATGTGCATATTATCTGCGGAACTTAATCCGCAGATAATATGCAATTAGGGTTTAATCACAAATCATTTATTTTTGATGTTCATTCTGCCGCTTTGTCAACAGGTTTTGTTTTATGTCTGTATTTCAGGGATATCTTCAATACTCTGTGCTTTTTTACGGCTACTACGGCAATGTGCGTAAAATCGGCAGTGCCGGCTACAGACTGCCCTTGGCCTATTTTATGGTCGGGATGGCCGTTTTTGCCTACAGCTTCATCACTTTGCTAAGAAAGTAATCACTACTTCAAAGACGCTTCGCTTGAAATTGCTGATTAACCTCAGTACATTCACATTTATGCATTTGGCAGATGCTTTTATCCAAAGTGATTTATAGTGCATTCAAGCTATATGTTTTCAGTTCATGTCGAATTAATTTACTTGCTGAAAAGAGCAGGTATGGTGTTTCTGTTGAAGCTGGTTTATTAAGGATCTGGTTGACCTGTCTTTTCAGCAGAGTTGATGAAAGTATCTGCTAAAAAAAAAACAAATGTACATTGATATTGCTTTTTTAAAGGGGTCATCGGATGCCCATTTTCCACAAGTTGATATGATTCTTTAGGGTCTTAAAGAAAAGTCTATAACATACTTTGGTTAAAATTTCTCAATGGTAGTGTAAAAAACACCTTTTTTACCCTGTCAAAATCAGCTCTATTTTCAGCAAGCCATTCTAGTCCATGTTGCTTTAAATGCTAATGTGCTCTGCTCACCCCGCCCCTCTCTTCCGTGGGGTGACGAGCAGACTGTAAACGCCAGCCGCGAAACTGGCTTACTAGCACGTTATTAGGAAAGGCGATTTGCAAAGATTCATAAAAAACCCTTATACTCACTTCTTCTGTTGATGAAGCTGGATCACGAATGATTAGCGTGAATATAGACGCATTTAGGCAGATCGGGATCGGCGCATTCCCTTCAAAACGATAGTAACGTTAATCCTCTGCGTCTTCAGCGGCTCAGATGTCGGGAGTAGATGACGACTGCTATATTCATTATTACATCCAACAACAGAACACCTCAATCGCTTAATCGGAGACGTTCTTGTCTTCCCCTGCACCGGAGTCGACACAATGGAGCACTGATGACAGCTCACTCAGGGCGGGTCTAAGGTAAGACGCTAGTGTCAATCAACTATCGTGGGAGTGGCTTGTGCAGAACTGCGTCATTCTGACAGGAATCTCAGAACAGTCTAGTTTGAGAAAGGGGATTTTAAAATAGGGATTTAAAAAAAAAACACTGGGTGGATATTTTATCATTATAGGATGGATGTGTACACACACTTCCAACACACATTTATGTTCAAACAACTTGTAAAGTGAATTTTGCATCCAATGACCCCTTTAACCTTTTTGCTGTGCTGAAAATTTAGTGTTGCTTGTAAATCTCTCATTACACTATATTATCACTAAATCTTGTTTTTATCATCTTGTTTTCTTTCAATTATCCAAGATTTGTTAGTAATATAGCATAACTCAAAACATAATTTTTGTAGGCCTGTCATTTTTAACAGGGAATGCCACAAATGAAACAAGGTGGGAAAAAATTGATAAAAAATTATCAATATTTTGAGCAAAATGTAGTCAGTAAATTTTAGTCCAATGCGATAACGTGAACTAGCATTTCCAGACATTCTCTCCAGGTCAAAATGAACAGAACACAACATGAGTGTTAAGTCATTTTTCGCCATGTGGTAATTTTTTCACAGTCATGATCACTAGGAAATTTAATATGTTTCTTTAGAAAAAGCTCAATTTGTGTTCCTCATATGCTGTTGTTTTTATCAGAATGGCTAAAAACTCCCGCATGAGTTTAGCCGGCGCCTCTGATGAGAATTACACCTTCTGCTGGCGTGTCTTCTGTGCGTGGGACTATCTGATTGGGAACCCAGAGGCGGCTGAGAGTAAAGGGGCGGCCATCGTCAATAGCATCAGAGTGAGCATCTCCTGCATCCAACAGACCCAAATCAATCTATCCTTGTCCTTATCCATGATTGTTTTTCTGCTACTCTCATTGTGAAGTGTATTTGAGCTTGGTAAAGGTGCTATATAAATTAAACATTATTATTATTATTATTATTATTATTATCCTTGATTCAATTCTCAATGATCATTCAGTTTTAATTCAGTTCAGCATTGCCTACATGGGAGGTTTATGCTCCACTTTTAGTGCTGATTTCTCCACGGAAAACATGTTATTTGAGTCTCATCAGTGTCATGCTAAATTACAGATGTTTCTTTGGAATAACATTCAATTTGTTGCACTTGTTGCATGTTTTTAAAAGTGCAAATGTTGTGATTTCACTCGGATGTATGTGATAACCATGTATCGGTCAGGTCGACTAACTGGACAAGATTTGGCCATTTTGCACATTTGCCAGTAAATAGGTATTATATTTTCTAGATATCGGTTGCAGAATCAACTATATCGGTCAATCATTTCCATAGTATTTGTCATTTTCTTTCTTTCTTTCTTTCTTTCTTTCTTTCTTTCTTTCATGCCAGTACCAAATTACCACAATTTATTGAAGTAACAGTTAATACCTGTACCTATCTGGCAGAAATTATGATGAATGATTTCAAGATTTTGAATTGTTTGAACTGCCTCTTTTTTATTCATATTTTGAATCAGTTTTTATTTTTATATTTTCTGTTTTCTTTTTAATTTTAAAGTTTTAGTAATTTGGCAAAATGTAGTTGTTTTTGTTCAATTTTTAGTAGTTTTGTTTTTCAAATATACATTTATTTTAGTTTTAGTTATTTTAATGCATCAAGTTAAACTATTTTTTTTTCTTTATGGTTATAGTTTTCATTTTAACTATAATAACCCTGATTCTACCTAACCAAAATGTTCTGCTTCTGTTTTTTAGGAGGCCATTGTAGAGGAGCAAGAGAAGAAGAAAGACACAAGCCTGCAAGTTTTCCTCTTTATTTGTGTTTGCATTATCACCTCAACATAACCCTAAGTGCTGACTAAGTGTATTCTCCAAACTCTCTCAGAAGTGCGTGTTTAACAAAACTGTCTTTTGAGGGTGGGAATGATCGTATCAGTAAGTGACTTACAGTGATGTGCTGTTTCTCTCTATCTGAGGCTGTTGTCACAGCACCTGTAATGCTGCCTCAGACCGCTCTGATTTATACATCTCCTCCCCGTCCAATGCAATCGCAGCAGAACATGCAAAATGGAAAACATCCCGCCGTATTTTATACAAACAGCCTTTTATTGCAGGCGGATGACTGCACCTAAATTGCCAGCAGACCTGCTCACACATTAAAGCCGATTAATATGTTGTGGGAATGCGACAACCATGCACACAGGGTTATGCTAACATTTGTACAGTATCTCTAAATAATTATAGCTAAACTCTGTGGTTGAATCTAACTTGCAAAATCTTGCAATCTTTCTTATCTTGCAAAATCCATGAGATATTGAAGTACTTGTGTATTACCTGCTTTTGTCAGTGATAAAAATTTGTCGGGCAAACTGGGAAATTAAGTGCATCAAGTCAGGAAGTGTTTATTGATGTTGTGCTTGCAGTGTTCAGCCAATGCCGATTTTTAGAGCAGAAGGGTAAAAAAATATGTTATTATACTAGAAATTCTCTTGACCATGTCTTCTGCTGCTTTTATATTGTATACAACCTCCTGAATAAGAAACATGATGTCAAAAACTTTTATTGAAGTAATAGTTTGGTTTTATTGGTCCCTGGCAATAGAAACGTAGGCAGTGTATTAAAAACGAACCAATGGCTCGGCAGCAGAGCTCAGCACAGCCCGCCAGAGCCCGCCAATTTGGGCGGGGCATCTGGCTATATAAACATGCACCTCGCCATAGGACCTCAGGTTACTTCGGCTGAAGCAACGACCGAGTTGGGCAGCTACATAGCACGGCCAGCAACGCAGTACTCGTTCCCGTATCTCAGGGAACCGAGGTTATGTTAGTAACCGAGTACGTTCCCTATCGATACTTCACTCGTACTGCGTCTTGCTTAAGATGCTTTGGGGAACCAGTACAATCCCGCCGTGCTATGGTAGAGGAACGACCAATGCTTGAACTTGCCTTGAGCACCAAGGGCCCAGAGGGACCAAGTAATTGTAGGGAAGCCCCACAGGAAGCGATAGGGCCAAACTCACAGAGGTCGGCCTGGCGCTAAGTAATCGTTCCAAGAAAAATCGTACAGCCTCGGAACCCAGTGGGGGCCAAGAGCGTACAGAGAAGGCAAATGCCTGATTTAGCACTGGTTTTGCCAGAGTAAGTCCATTTAAGCAGAAAGGACCCGAGCCTGTAATGCTGGGACATCCAGATTATAAAACCTGATAAATGTGGACAGCGAGGCCCAGCCGGCCACCGCACAAATTTCTGCAATGGAAACTCCGCTAGACCAAGCCCAGGAAGAGGCAATGCCTCTTGCTTCCATGGGGCATTGAAGGCCCAAAGAAGAGTACGCTAGCTTGATAGTGTCAATTATCCATTTGGAACATGAAGGTGTCCGAGACGGCAGGCGTAGGACGGAACTCGGAGTTTCAGCCAGCACTGAAGGGGCCGCATGCGAAAAATGCATTCAATAGCGAGGTATTTCTGGGGAAACGTTTTCAAAGGAAAACACACACACACACACTCACATGTCTCTTTGCTGAGCCGCGGCGGTCTCGGTGAATCATCAGCATCCACAACTGAATGGAACAAAAAGTGTTGAACTTGAAAATTGTTTATGCGCGAGTGCCCTTGCTAAATGAAGGCGGATAGTATAAAAATTTTCACAGCGCGCAGAACGCACGCGAGAGAGAGATGAGGCAGCGCAGATCACGCCTAGCCTGAGATATTGTGTTTAGCACGCTCTCGGGGAGGTTCTTTTGGCAAAATTGACCCTGAGTCCCAGGCATTCTAAGTGGCTGAGGAGGAAGGATCTGTGAAATAGTAGCTCATCCTCCGACTGGGCCAAGATGAGCCAGTCATCAAGGTAATTCAAAATGCGGATTTCCATCTGTCTCAGTGGGGAAAGAGATGCATCCATGCACTTCGTAAAAGTGTGAGGTGCTAGGGACCAGTGGTGGAAAGAGTACTGAAAAAATATACTCGGCTTTTCTGACAAGATGCGCGTTAAATATCGCATGCGATTTATCGTGCAGCCCTACTTAAAATGTACTCAAGTAAAAGTAAAAGTACACAATTTTTAAACTACTCAAAGAAGTACAATTACTGATAAAAACTACTTAATTACTGTAACGTGAGTATTTGTAATTCGTTACTTCACACCCCTGCTAGGGACAGTCCAAAGGCAAGGTCCGTATATTGATATGCCACTCTCTCGAAGGCGAGTCTCAAGAATCGTCTGCGGTGGGGGGCTATCTGGATGTGAAAGTAGGCGTCTTTCAGATCCAGCGAAAAGAACCAGTCCCCTGGGCACACTTGCGAGAGGATCTGTTTCAATGTAATCATCCTGAACAGCCTTTTCATGAGGGCTTGGTTCAGGTGCCTGAGATTGAGGATGGGTCTTAGATTGCCATCCTTTTTGGGGACGAGGAAATAGCGGCTGGGGAAGCCTGACTCGCTTTGAGCTGGGGAAACCGTTTCTACGGCTCCTATCACCAGCAAATTCATCACCTCGGAGTGCAGGACATGTCCCCCCCATGCTGAATCGCGGGGGTCTTCGAGCGAATTGCAGTGAATAACCTAGTTTTATTATCCCCAAAACCCAGTTTGGAACTCCGGGGATGGCCTGCCAGGCCTCAGCCCGCGTGACAAGGGGTTGGATTAATTCGAGTGGCTGGTCGCCGTATGGGGACCCCACACGATCATTGAAGAAGACGAGCCGCGAGCAAAGTAGAGCAAGACATGAACTCTTGAAGCAAGAGCGATCTGTCTCAGTGAGCGCCCTCTCAGCATGGGCATGGCCCAGGCGAGAGGCGCATTCAAATACTAAGCTGTCAGCGATATTGAATCATTGGTGACAGTGTTCTGCTCCTATCCTCACGTGTAAACACACTGGCGGATCAAAGAGCTGCGTGGAGAGTGATGCATGCGGGGATTTGCCGGCGTTAAATCACCCATGCCTGATCGCTCATCCCCGTGAGTTCACCATTTCTTTCTCTGAGTAACTGGGAGGAGAGAAACACAAGAGCAGGGGAGGCGCGCAGCTCACTGCCCTTCTGCGGCGGATTAAAGTGCAGTGGGGGGAGCGAGCACGTGGGTCGCTCAGACCCGGTTGTTTAGTTCCCTGACTCCGCTGTTTCTCTCTCCGAGGCTCGCTGAGAGAGGAGAAACGGGATAGCGGGGCTGCCTTCAATGACGGCCGTCCGCGAGTGGAGAAGAGCGAGACTCATGCTCTCAGCAAGAGCATTCCGTCTCAGTGAAGTGCAGTCTCTGCATGGGGGCTGCC